ACGCGGCAGCCATGCAGGCGTTGGGTGGTGGCGCAGGTGATGCAGACGGCCGAGATGACCAGCATAGCTCCAGAACACCTGCTTCCCAGAGTGGTTCAGGCAGGGCTGAAGGTGAGGATGGTCACCAGGCCCCAGAAGGCCAGGGTGGGCCTGGCAGAGGAAGAGAGGCGATGGAAGCTGCTGTAGCTCGTCCCGGGGTGAGCGGGCACCAGGTGGCCTAGGACCTGCTGGAGATGTAGCTCCCTTGGCTGTAAGGCCTAGACGTGGACAAGTGGTGCTCACACTCAGAGTGCCTTTCCAGTCGCCCCTGGAGGCAGACATGGCTCACAGATCTCTGCTCCCAGATGCCCAAGGCCACCAAGGATCAATTTGGAAGGAATTTGCAGTGAATGGCAGTGACCTGCTTGTTAGATGGACTGCTGAAGACCTTGCTTCCATCCGACTTTCCATGAACGCATTCCTCGATCAGCTTTCCCTGGTGATTCGGAACATTCAGAGCTTTGGGCTCCCACCCTCGCCAAAGCCTAAGCTGAGGAGGGGCTGAAGCCTAACCTTGTGTCCCCTACTCAGTGGGCATAGGGAATTCAACCTAAGAGTCATTGCCACTTTGTTATTTGAGTGTAAGTTTTTGCCTGTACTGGCCTTTGGCCTCTCTTGGTTCACTTGCTTTGTTTCCCTGCTGCTTGAGGAGTGGGATGCTTCAGTGTTTATTACAGCAGAAAATAAAGCTAAGTCACGTTAAAAAAAAAAAAAAAAGCAGTTACTTTGCCAACAAAGGTCCGTCTAGTCAAGGCTATGGTTTTTCCAGTGGTCATGTATGGATGTGAGTGTTGGACTGGGAAGAAAGCTGAGTGCTGAAAAATTGATGCTTTTGAACTGTGGTGTTGGAGAAGACGCTTGAGAGTTCGTTGAACTGCAAGGAGATCCAACCAGTCCATCCTTAAGGAGATCAGGCCTGGGTGTTCATTGGAAGGACTGATGCTGAAGCTGAAACTCCAATACTTTGGCCACCTCATGCAAAGAGTTGACTCATTGGAAAAGACCCTGATGCTGGGAGGGATTGGGGGCAGGAGGAGAAGGGGATGACAGAGGATGAGATGGCTGTATGGTATCACCGACTCGATGGACATAAGTTTGAGTAAACTCCAGGAGTTGGTGATGGACAGGGAGGCCTGGTGTGCTGCAATTCATGGGGTCGCAAAGAGTCAGACACAACTGAGTGACTGAACTGAACTGAACTGAGAAGGATAAAATAATACTCTTTATGGATAATTTCACTTTCTTTCTTGTTTCTTTAGTTTATTGAAGTATAGTCAATTTACAGTGTTGTGCTAATTTGCTGTACAGCAAAGTGACTCCGTTATACACATATATACATTCTTTTTTCATATTCTTTTCCATTCTGGCTTATCCCAGGAGACTGGATATGGTTCCCTGTGCCATACAGTACAACTTTGCTATTTATTCATTCTAAATGTAGTAGTTTTGTCTGTGAGTGTGTTTCATAGGTATGTTTGTTGGTGCCATATTTTAGATTGCACATAAAAGTGATATCGTATGGTATTTGTCTTTCTGTCTCACTTCACTTAGTATGATACTCTCTAGTTGTATCCATGATGCTGCAAATAGCATTATTTTGTCCTTTTTTATGAATGAGTAATATTCCCTTGTGGACGTCCCAGGTGGCTCAGTGATAAAGTATGTGCCTGTAATGCAAGAGATACGTTTTCCATCCCAGGGTTGGGAAGATCCCCTGGAGAAGGAAATGGCAACCCACTCCAGTATTCTTGACAGGTTATTTCCAGGGCTTGGCTATTGTAACTTCACTTTCTTTATCTTCTGCTTATCTTTTAACATCTCTTGACTCTCCTGGGGGTCCAGTGGTTAAGACTCTGTGCTTCCAATTCAAGGGCTGCCAGTTCCATCCCCACTTGGGAAACTAAGATTCCAGATCACCTGAGACAAAAAAAACCCTCTTGCTTTAGTGTAGTGCATATTACAAACAACATCAATTAGCCATTATTGTACTGATACATTGGAGAAGGCAATGGCAGCCCACTCCAGTACTCTCGCCTGGAAAATCCCATGGGCGGAGGAGCCTGGTAGGCTGCAGTCCATGGGGTCGCTACAAGTCGGACACGACTGAGCGACATCACTTTCACTTTTCACTTTCATGCATTGGAGAAGGAAATGGCAACTCCAGTGTTCTTGCCCGGAGAATCCCAGGGATGGAGGAGCCTGGTGGGCTGCTGTCTATGGGGTCGCCACGAGTCAGACACAACTGAAGCAACTTAGCAGCACCTGTACTGATACATATTTAAATTTGATGTTCACATAGTGTTTAATAGCTCTAAAAAGATAAACTGAGGCACACTAAAATTTCTGAGAGTTTATTTGAGCAAAACTTTATTCCAATCGTACAACACCAAACTTGAAACGGTCATGAGCACTCCACTGACAGGAGCTAGGGGCAAGGTTTTTATGGAGAAGATGCACATTCAAAGCAAGGAAATTATTTGATTGTTATAGCTTATGCTGTTGCATTATTTGAGAAAAATCTCATTGGATGTTTGTGATTGGTTGTTCCTACCTTGAGGTATTCACAGGATTGAATCTGGGGTTGCTCATTAACCTACCAAGACATCAGAGTCATCTCAGTCTAATGCCTTTTTGTATGATTACTTCAACAATACATTGAGAGAATGTGAATTTTTATTTTCCATTAAGCTTAGTTTCTTCCTACAGAAACTGTAGGCAGATGGAAATACTCTTTGGTCAACTCAGAGTTTCTAAATAGCTGAAATGAGATCACATTCTGAAAATTTTGTGCTATAGAGTTACATGAAATTATTATTCATGGTTAAAGATTTCCCAATTCTAGTAGTTTAGAGATATTTTTTAAATATATACTACTTGAGTGGGATTTTAGAATGATACTAAGGCTGTTTTCAAAATAATCCTTGATTTCCCCATTCATACCGTCTGAGAGGGTTTTAAAATGGAGGCTTATGGAAAAATTGAAAATGGGTATCCCTTGTAGACTGTATGGCCACCATTATTTTTTTTCGGCCACCATTCTTATATGTAGTTTTTGTTTTTTAGCTGTCTTTCCTTCCCATCCACCACACCCTTCCCCCTCCTTTAACTTAAGCTTAAGGACAGAATGATGTGATGGAAAAAAGGAAAGAGAATTTTTGGTAAACTCAGTATTTGATAAGAACCCTAAATACTTTTTTATACTGGGTTGGAAGTTAAACCAGGAGAGTCTTTTAGGAAAAGAATCTGTCAACAGATTATCAAGAACTTTTAAAATGTTCATATTCTAAAGAAACAGAAACATGGTCAAAGATTTCTGCAGATCCTGAATACAGTATTACATAAAGTGACTTGAAAATAAGGTCAATGTTCAACATTTAAGGAAATACTTAAGTGACTGATGGTACATTTAGACAGTGTAATTCTATAAACATTAAAAATGATGTGGAGATTTTGGTCACAAAAGTGTGGGTTACTGAGGTTTGTTAAGTAGGAAAATAAATAGTATAAAGAACCATATAAATACAGTATAATCTATGTAAAAGTATATTAAAACACCAAATGCATCTGCAATTTCTATATTTTTATAACCATGTATAATACATTTACTATATATAAATAATAAATTATTATTTACATAATAAATAACATCCTAAGTAAATTTTGCATTTTTAAAAAACAATCCGTGACTAGATTTTAGCCCTAAATCTGGCATTAGTTAGCCTCAGCATCCTCATCTGAAAAATTCTATCATTCTCTAGGCAACTAACATAGTGATCCTTTTAGAAAGTGATAAGGCATTGAGGAAAGGGACGTTTTAAGGGGTGAAAACAACACTCCTGAAGTAAAGGAGGAAAAGTTCAGTCGAAAATGAGCCCACAGACTCCTCATCCCATTGTCTCTCCTCCTTACCAAACTCTATTCTGAGGTAATATAACCAAAAAACCTTAATCATTTTTGCTAAGGCTTGGAAAAATTAACCCCCAACAGTCTGGCTGGTATTGCTTTTGCAACACTTTTTAACCTGCCAAATCAACTAAAAGTGTCTTTCAGGCAAAAGTCACTAATTAGGTCAACAAACTCTGGGTGCCTGTGTTTTCCTTTTGTGGACATCATTACACAACAGTCCTAGTTGAGCAACTTGCAATGGTGAGAGTCTTGGCCCTACATTCCTTTCATGCCTCAGTCCAGTAAACAGAGGGTGAACTTTATTTAGCTGTTTCACTCTTCCTGGAAGGGTGCCTAAATTTCACCACAGGAAAGCAAGTAAAGGCGGCTCTGACTTATGATAGTTCAGTTTATAATTTCTTGACTTTATGATGGTGCAAAAGCTGTAAGATTCAGAAGAAACCATACACAATTTGGAATCTTAATCTTTTCCTGAGCTATATGCAGTATGAAAGATGCAGTATAATACTCTCTCCTCGGTTTTGAAGCTTCTAATCACTTACCCAATCAGGAGGGTAAACCACCTATACACTCACATTCTGTTTTTCACATTCAGTACAGTAATCAATAAACTACCTCAGATAATCAACACTCTGTTGTAAAATAAGCTTTGTATTTGATGATCTCTGCCCAACTGCCGGCTGATATAAGTATTTTGAGCACAGTCTAATAAGGTAAGCTAGGCTAAATTGTGTTGAATAGGTTAGGTCTAACCAGTGCATTTTAGACTGGTATTTTCAATTTCCCATGAGTTTTCAGGATTGAACCCTATCTTAAGTGGAGTAAGATCTGTAAAAAGGATAAGCAAATGGGAGGAGTGGGGAGATAGTGCGCCGAGGAGGCAGTGGGACAAGACAGCAGAGGAAGGAGGGGCAGAGGGGGCGTGCAGTGACAAAGATGGTGTCAGAATTGAGTACTCGTGGCCGTAGTTTTTGTGTATGATTTCAGAATCCAAATGAGCAACCGGATGGCTGGGAGGGAGACAGGAGATGGGGTGAAGGCCTCCGAGTGGGGGTGGGGGGCCTGGCTGTTTTCAGTAAACACCGAAAAGTACCGGGAAGAGAGGAAATGAGGCCAGCGATTTCACGAGCTGCCGAGATGCTCTTCAATAAGCTCTGGACCTTCTCACAAATGACAGAAACTGCTTCATAAAGAGCACGATCTTGTTAGCATAGAAACCGCACCCCCACTTTCCGACGTTTCTTCTGCGGACGTCTGCCACCTCTAGGCTTACCCGCAAAGGAGGGGCAGGGACAACCTCCAAAATTACCAGACTCTTTTAAAGACTCGGCGTGAGAAACTACAAGTTCCAGGTTGCAGCGCTGACTCCGCCAAATACGTCAGTACCCACCAGAGAAACTACAAATACCAGGATGCAATGCTGCCTCGGACCCCCGACCCCCTCCACTCCCAGCAACCCTTCAAGGATGAGGTCCCTTCGGAAATCAGATTAAGGTCGGCGCTGCATGCTGGGAATCAGAAGACCCAAAATAGGATTGGCTGAGACTTTTCCCGGCACCGCCGTCCTCTCAGGCTGGCCCGTGGGAGAAGGGAGGGGGCGCTGCGCACTTCCTGTAGACGCCGGCAAGCAACGGCCTCGGCGCGTCTCCGCCTCACCAGGTACTAATCTCCCGCGCGTAGAAGGCATCTGTGACCCAGCGGAAGTGATTCCTCTTGCTGCCCCGGAACCCACGGCGGCAGGCAGCTGGGGGTGGGGGGGCGGCCCTGGTGTAGGGGCTGTGGCGGTGCGCGGGGACCCGGTGCGGTGGCTGCGGTTGCTGCGGAGCTGGCGAGTGAGTCTCGGGCTGGGGTGGGAACGGAGCTCTGGGCCCGCGTCGGGGACGGGGAGGCTCGTACTGGGTGCTCTCGCCATCCCACTTCCCACCCCTTCCCATTTGGGCGGGGAAGGAACGGAAGCTTAACCTTCCCCTGCCGCTTCGGCTCCTGGTTTGGGGGAGGGGAGAGGAGGGCGGCGGGACCTTCCCTGGCGCCGCTCGGTGGGCTTGGAAAAGGGAAGAAGGAGGGGCGGCGGCTGGCGAGACTGGGCCTCTTCGGGGTTGAGCGCGAGGAGGGTGGAGTTAGGAGCATGGCAGCCCTGTCGCTTTTCCTTTTTTGCTTTCTCCGGGTGCACTCAGGCTCGTCCATTCCTTGGAGTCAGTCCCGTCACAGAAGAGGGCCCTCGCTCTTTGCTGTAGCGGGTCACCGAGAACTTTACCTTCGGGGCAACTTGTTGGGTGATCTCTGCCCGACTTGGTTTGGGTCTGTCGAGCATCTGCCGCCCTGTCTTATCTGATGGAGGCAGGTAGTGTCAAGTACGGTGGCCATTAAGTTTCTCCTGTGGACCTCTTTAGTATAGTTTATGGAGTTCGAGTTATCAGTGCGAGCATTTCTACTCTACGTCGCCTTCAGTATAGAAAACAACCGAAATCCTTTAGAGTTTTAAAACCTTATTTTCAAACTGCCAAATTTGCTTTTTGATCTCCAGATAGTTTTCCTGTTTTGTTTAGTGGACTAAAATGAAACATCTCCGATCTCGTTTACATTGTAATTGTGGTATAATTCATGATGTTGAAACATCACTGTTCACATGTGAATTCATTCATTTCGGAGATACAATGGCAAAGAGAACTATGGCCCCTGTCGTCTGGATATTAAGTGCTTATTGCCAGTGATGATTTTGGCTTCATAATTTTTAAATGAGTGTCCTTTTTCCTTAAGTATGAGATCGACCTAATAACCAATAACTACCATTCCAAAGTATATATATAAATTTATTTCAAATGGAAGATGCTAGTTTCTTTGCATTGTGGTAATTCTGTAATATGATTAAGCAATACTTTGTAGTCAGAAGTTAGAGTCAGTTCTATATATCAAGTAATAAAGTAATATTTGTATCTTATAAATTGCTTTTTTGGATTTTTTTTGTAGATTTTTCAGTATTAGGAAATAATCTGAAAAGTCTTTGTATTTACATTGATATGTGTTAATGCATTTTAGGTAATCCTCCTAAATGTTTACTGTTCCATTATTAAATAAGATCAGAAAAATCTCATCAGTGATTTCAAACTTCGGTGATTAAGAAAACTATAGTGCCATTCACTCAAATATTTATTGAGCATCTTCATCTTCTATATGTTAGGCACTATATATGAGGCCTGCCCTCTTGGAGCTTGAGGAAAGAGAGACTGTACATTAAGTAAGCAAATAGAGTTTCAGATGGCGATAAGTGTAAAGAGAATATAACTAGATTTAGAGTTAGATTTAGTTAGGGTGTCTAGGGTGGGAGTGTGTAATTTTGAAAGATACGTGCTCAAGGAAGACCCACTTCTCTGAAGACTTACATGTTTTGCCTGGAGACCAAAATAAGGAAGATCTGAAGGAAGAGTTTTTGAGAGAGCAGTAACTGCAAATGCATAGACCTCAAGAGAAATGAACTTGACCCATTACAATACTTAGAAGGTCAGTGTGGCTGGAGCATAAGGAAGAGTGATGGGAGATGAGAGCAGAATGGTTAGCAAGCAGTAAATCAAATGGAACTTTTTTGCTCTGTTTGTAATGAGAAGCCATTAGAGGATTTTGTGTAGGGGAATGCTTTCGATGACTAACTGCTGAGTAGCAAACTGAGTTGGAGGAAACTGGAGAAACTAGCTCCTGAGGCGACTTGTAGTAGTTCGGTTGAGCTGTGGTAGCATGAACTAGAGATGTAGACTTGGAAGTGAGAAGCAGTCTGATTTGGAGTATAATTTGAAGATGGAACCAAATGGGTCTTACCCTAACCCCAGGACAAAAAATCCGGAAGAATCGCCTTGCTTTGCCCAAACATCTGGGTGAATAGTAGCACCATCTCCTGGAATGAGGAAGACAGGGGCAGGGGCACTGGTTTCTAAGCAATAAAGCAGGAGTTCTGTATAGAGTGTACTGAATTTGATAATTTTAAACAGCTTAGAATGTGTGCAGTAGTAGGCAATAGGATACCCCCTACTGTTGCTCAGAGCAGAAGTCAGGCTCGGGAGATGATCTTGGAGTCATGTTTTACAGGTGGTACTTAAAAATATGGACCAGAGGACATCAAGAATATTGATGGAGAAGAGGACAGATGACTGGGAAGGGAGCATTCTGGTCAGAGGAGCAGTGATGGGAACAGAAAGGCCAGGAGGGTGTGGCCTCTGTAATGCTAATGGAAGAAGAGATGGTGGAATCAACTATAAAAGGGAAAGATGAGGATTAAAAATTGACCTAGTGACCAAGTAATTGAAATTTGACAAGAGCACTTTGATTGGACTAGTAGTCTAAAAAGATTGATTATTGTGGGTTATGGAGAAGTGGGTGGTCCTGATGATGTTACAGCATTTGATGTGTTGATGGGAATAGGGGCAGAGCAAAGTGTTTGGATCACTGTGGTAGGAAGTGATGATTTTTATGCAGCTTTTGAAACAGGAAAATGGACAAAGTATATGGTATATAGGTATGCAGGTAGGATGAAGGTGGAAAAGAAAAGGCATTTGAAGTGATTTGTTCTGTTTTCTTGGTGAAATAAGTGAAGTTGTTAGGATAGGGAGGAGAGGAGTATGGGAGGTTTAAGAGAAGCTGTAAATTTTCTGAGTAGGAAAGCCAGTTAACTAGTTAGTTAGGGGGATCACTGTGATACCAAGTCCCTGTTTAAAGTGTGTGGCCATAGATTTTAAATTAGAGACCAGTCAAAATGGTTGTGAGTTTTCTTCAGCCAGTTCAGCTTTTTATTTGAGGCTTGAGCTGGGTAGAGAGTTGGACTGGCCAGGATTGGGATTTTGGGTGGGTTAGCTACATCAGAGGAGGAGCAGGGGGTTCAGGAGTATAGAGACTGTGACGTGTGTATGGTGCCAGCCCTCATGTTAACAGTGGAGTGAAGCCTGCTCTGGGGTTGCTTTGTATTTGTTTTTTATTCTTAGTGCATCATTGAAAGGTTTTGCATAGAATGTATAATTGTTGTGTCCTGCCAACAGGACCCCATGGACTGTGGCCCACTAGGCTCCTCTATCCATGGAATTTCCCAGGCAAGAATACTGGAGTGGGTTGCCATTTCCTTCTGCAGGGGATCTTCCCAACCCAATGATCGAACCGGTGTTTCCAGCACTGGCAGACTGATTCTCTACCACTAAGCCACCAGGGGAGTCCTTTTGCTCTTACTTTTTAGACTGAGACAAAGGAGTTTGGAGATCATTGCCTGAGAGGGAGATAAGGTTGGTTACAGTGTGTGGCAGAGAGCCTCAGTGGAACACACAGCACTCTGGAGCTCTTGAGTTCTGTGCTGTGTGGGAGCTACTCTGCTTAATAAAGATGAGAAATTGGGAATTATGGGCATCTGTAGAGGGAGGGTGAATTTCAGATGGGTTCAGTCATAAAATGGTAGAGCTGGAAGGGACTTCAGACACAGTTTAGTCCGGTTTCCTCATTTGGGAGATGAAGAAACAGAAGTCTTATTACTTAAACCTATCTGAGTCTCAAGATAGAGAAAAAAATTTTTTTAATGTTTCAGCTGTGTTGCATGGCCTGTGGGATCTTAGTTCCTTGACCAGGGATTGAAGCCATGTCTTCTGCATTGGAAGCTCAGAGTCTTAACCACTGGACCACCAGGGAAGTCCCAGAATGAGAATTTTATATCATCCTGAGACATAAATTCAGCAACACAATAAGCACATTTTAGGCAAAATATTCTAATCTCTTTTTATAAACTAGAATTGCGTAACTTCTGTCAATTTGTATTAATGGCCAAAGCCTCTCTAATTGCCTCTTCAAATAGTCCTAAACATTAATTTTTGGTTAATGTAATTTACTTCATTTTCCAAATTAATCATATTCTTACATATTATTATTAAGAACAAATTATCAGGCTGACTGACCATTGTTTCCTTCATAAGCAGCTTAGTTCCACATACTTGTTTCTTTTTAAAATATCAGTTTTAAATCATAGTTTTCTAGTTAAATAACTAGAAATAACTAGTACTTTCAGACATGTATTTCAATGCTCTTTTTAAAAAAAAATTGAAGTGTCATTGACCTACAATAATACATTAGTTTCAGATGTACAGCGTGTGCTGTGCTTAGTCGCTTAGTTGTGTCCAACTCTTTTGTGACCCTATGGACTGTAGCCAACCAGGCTCCTCTGTCCATGGGGATTCTCCAGGCAAGAATACTGGAGTGGGTTGCCATGCCCTTCTCCAGGGGATCTTCCCTACCTTGGGATCAAACCCAGGTCTCCCACATTGCAGGCGGATTCTTTACTGTCTGAGCCACCGGGGATGATTCAGTATTTCTAAACATTACAAAATGATCACCACGATGATAAGTCTAGTGCCGTCTGTTACTACACAAGGATGCTAAAATATTTGACTGTATTCCCCATGCTTTATGTTTTATCCACATGTTTCATGACTCCTAACTGGAAGTTTGTTACCTCCTTTTTTTTTTTTTTTTTTCCGAATTGAAGGATAATTGCTTTCAGAATTTTGTTGGTTTCTGCCACATATCAACATGAATCAGCCATAGGTATATGTATGTCCCCTCCCATGTTTTATACCTCTTAATCTCCATTGTCTGACTCATTCCTCCACCCTATTCCCATGTGGCAACCCCTGGTTTGTTCTGTGACTCTGGTTCTGTTTTGTTACATTTGCTCATTCATTTTGGTGTTTAGATTCCACATGTAAGTGAGATCATACAGTTTTTGTCTTTCAGTCTCTGACTTACTGACTTATTTTACTTAGCATGATACCCATGTTGCCGCAGATGGCAAGATCTCATTCTTCTTATGACTGAGTAATACTCTATTGTATGAGTAATCTTGTATTGTGTATGTCCCATCTTTATCCATTCATCCGTTGATAGGCACTTAGATTGCTTCCATATCTTGACTATTGTAAATAATGCTAAAATGAATGCAGGGGTGCATTCTTTTTTTTGAATTAGCATTTTTGTTGACTTTAGAAAAATTGTGGAGAAGTGGAATGCTAGATCTATGGTAGTGCTATTTTTAATTTTTTGAGGAACTTCCATGCTGTTTTCCGTGGTGGCTGCATCAATTTACAGTCCTACCAATGCTGGGTAAGGGTTCCCTTTTCTCCACATCCTTGCCAGTGCTTGTTATTTATTAATTGTCAAAAATGATGATAGCCATTCTGACAGGTCTCAAGTGGTATCTTATTACAGTTTCTATTTGCATTTCCCTGGTGATTTTTGATGTTGAGCATCTTTTCATGTATTGGTTGGCTATCTGTGTGTCATCTTTGGGAAAATGTCTATTCTGGTCCTCTTCCCATTTTTCAGTTGGGTTGGTTGGGGGGTTTTGATTTTGAGTTTATGAATTCTTTAAATATTAGATTGGCCAAAAAGTTCATTCTGGTTTTTCCTTAAGATGTTAACGAACTTTTTTTGTTTTTGTTCAGTCACTCAGTTGTGTCCTACTCTTTTTGACCTCATGGACTGCAGCACATCAGGCTTCCCTGTCCTTCACTATCTCCCAGAGTTTGCTCAAACTCATGTCCATTGAGTTGATAATGCCATCCAACCGTTTCATCCTCTGTCACCATCTTTCCTTCTGCCCCAGCCTTTTCCAGCATCAGGGTCTTTTCCAGTGAGTTGACTCTTCACGTCAGGTGACCCAAGTATTGGAGCTTCGACTTTGGCCAACCCCATATTTTGGGCATTAACCCCTTATCAGACATACTGTTTTCACACTTCTCCCATTCAATAGGTGGCCTTTTAATTATGTTAGCAGTTTCATTTGGTTTGCACAAGCTTTTTCTTTAGTTTGATGTAGTTCCATTTGTTTACTTTTGCTTTGTTTTCCTTGCCTGAGGAGACATATCCCAAAGAATACTGCTAAGACCAGTGTCAAGGAATGTACTGCCTATGTTTTCTTCTAGGAGCTTTATGATTTCAGGTCTTATGTTTAAGTATTTAATACACTTTTGAGTTTATTTTTGTATATGGTGTGAGAAAGTTCAGTTTTGTTTCTTTTGCATATAAGCTGCCCGGTTTTCCCAACACCATTTGTTGAAGAGGCTGTCTTTTTCTCACTGAATATTTTTGCTGCTTTTATCATAGATGAATTGATCATGTAACTGTGGTCTCATTTCTGGGCTCTCTGTTCTGCCATTAGTCTATGAGACTGTTTTTACATACTGTTGGGATTACTGTAGTTTGCAGTATGGAGAAGGAAATGCAGCCCTCTCCAGGATTCTTGCCTGAGAAAGCCCATGGACAGAGAAGCCTGATGGGCGCCAGTCCATAGGGTCACAAAGAGTCAGACACGACTGAGCAGCTGACCCTAGCGTAGCATGCCTTCTGCATCTTACGTGTAAGACTCCGTTCGTCACCGAGCGACTGGACAGCAGCGCAGCAGCTTGTAGTGTGATTTCGAAGCAGGGAACATGTTCCCTCTGACTCTCTTCTTTCTCAGAATTGTTTTGGCTATTCAGGGTCATTTTTTTAATATATTTTCCTGCAGAAAACATGAGTTTAATCAGTGAGAAATCATTTATTTTTCATAAATGGCATAAAGCTATACCTATCATTCTTTTCTGCTTTATCAGCGGTTTATCTTGGTGGTATTTCCATGTTATTATATACATATATTTTAACTTAATCCTTTTCACTGCCCCAGAATGTTTCATAAGTTTATACTGTTTTTGTTTCATATTACCCATTTCCCCTCCCATTCAAATCTTGGATCTTAGCAAGTTTTAATGTTTTAGTTTTCATGTGGCCATTGGAACCAAACATTTTTATAGGGGTCTGTGAGCTATTTGTATTTTTTTCTTCTGATATGTGTTTCTAGAGTTCAGTGGATTTTTTTCTTTTTAAACATTTGGTTCTTTAATCACCATTGTATTCTTGTGAGTAATGAGTCAGACATCTACCGAGCTGTAGATTTGCAGCTGTTGCGCTCATCTGCTTTGCTAATCCAAGCAAGTCAGCTGAAAAACTGTTAGAACTAGTAAGAGAGTTCTGTGAAGATGATGGAATACAAGATCAACTTACCGAATTTAAAAAGTTTTCTTTAAAACACCAGCAATAGCCTTTCAGAAAGTATAGCATAAAACAGATCTCATTCATAATGGGAACTGTAAAGTACTAAAAGTAGACCTAACAAGAAATGTGTGATCACAGAATGGAGACTTGCCCAACTCTTTAGCAAAAGCATGTTGTGTGATTAAAACTAGGGATATTGGTCAGGTAATAAACAAGATTGATGGAACAGAATACAATCTAGAAATCCACGTAATATAGTGTATGATAGTAATATAGTGTATGATAAAGGTAACATTTCAAATAAGGGATGGGCAGTTAAAAGATCTTTTTGGTGTTCAATGACACTAGGCTGAAAACTGACTTCAGTATAGGCCTTAGGCTCACCAGGATTTCTGTTTTCTACCTAAACATTAAAAAAAAAAAAAGTTAAGAGTAATTTTATATATGACACTTTAAAAGCACAATGACATCAAGCCTTTGTTCATGTCTTCTGCCTAGAACTATTCTCAACCCACTGTTCAACCACTTCCTTTTACCTACCTAATTCCTATTTCGAGAACTCGCTCAGTTAAGGAGTAAATGTTCACACTGAGCTTTTGTAACTCCAAACTTAGATTTATATATATATATATATTTTTATCTGTGGGTTAAGTCCAAATTTAATCATTTCAGTTATTTTAACTTCTTAAGTATCAGAGTCTATCTACTCTTGTTGATGTTGATTTACTCTTTGTTACTAATGGGGAGCTCCCTTCCCCACTCAACCTTTAACCCTTGTATAAATTATGGAATTTATTTACTATATTAAGAAGTCCATAGAAAAACTGTTGCTACTCAGAGGGCTTCTAAGGTGTGACTTTTCATGGTTGCTTAGCTACTGCTAGTTAAATAAACATCCTAAAGGTTTTCCTCTGGAGATTTTTTAAAGAAAAGAAGTTCTTGAAATTCTACCTTTTCTAGCACCTTTTCCTTTTGTGTGTGTGTGTTTTAGGATGAGTACAAAGCAGTATGAACAGAAGAAACTAATAATGACTGAAAAATTTGTTTAATTGCTTACTGTTATTACCATAAAATGACATAGTACTGGTTTTTAGTTTTAAATAACTATCCAAGGATTTATATTGGCACCTCTCAACAGTAGTCGAAAAGAAGTTTTAACAGGAGCCAGAATTTATTACCGTGGCTTTATGGAATAATGGAAGGGAATGTGGGCTCTAAAGCAAACCTATCTAGGTTTAAATTCTCATGTTGCCACTTAAGCTATGGAAGCCTTGAGCGAGTAGAGCAGCCTCTTAGTGTTTCCTAGTCTCTGCAACGGTAGTGACAGCTTCCCTGTGGAAGTATTGTTTTAAAATAAGATAATGCATGCAAGGCATTTAATGCAGTGTTTATACTCATTAGACCCTCGACTTGGTACTAATTATATTGCCTGCTTTAGACATGGCCGTTTAAATGTCTCCCTCCGTTCTTGGAGAGTGTTCTGGATTGACATTAAATTTTTGCTCCTACTCTCACTCCCTGGAGCGAATTATTCAGCCTCGCTGTACATCAGTGGTATTATTTTTTAAGGTGAGGGATTACATAGGTTTAGGGCTTTCCTGTGGCTCAGATGATAAAGAATCTGCTTGTAATGCAGGAGCCCCAGGTTCGATCCCTGGATTGGGAAGATACCCTGGAGAAGGGAATGGCTATTCACTCCAGTATTCTTGCCGGGAGAATTCCATGGAGAGAGTAACCTGGAAGGCTACAGTCTGTGGGGTTGCTAAGAGTCAGACACAACTGAACAACTAACACTTTAACTCAACATAGGTTTATTGGTCAGGAATTTCTTAGAGAACAGGGTAATTAGGATATGCTGTTTTCCTGGTAATGACATAAAAATAATGTTGGGAGAAATAAAATCCTCCTTTGAAGAAATGCTGTTAAAATACAAATTGCTGAAAATGTGAGCTCTTTTCTTTTAGCAATCATTTCTTTTGTAAAATTTAAGATTTCTCAAAAATTAATTTTTAACTCCTTCATTGTTAAATCTCAGAACTTTGGTAGCCTCTGTGCAGAATGGAGGGAACAGTAACCTGTATTATAGATGTGCACACTTACCTAAGAAGAGGGCACGCCTTTTTTTCTCATGAAAGTCACATCCTTGGGTTGATCATGTCATTCATTTAGCAAATACTTGCTTTAGTGTTTACCAGTGTCTAGCAGATATAATATAAAAAGATGATTAAAGCCAAGAGTCTCTTTCAAGTTCAGTTCAGCTCCTAATGAACAACATATGTATTTTTAAACTGTTGTCAGAATAGTTACCTTAAAAAGGTAGAAGATAAATCTGTATTTAGAATTCCCTGTCCTGCAGGTGATCTTCTCTCAGATATTCAGAAACTTGATACTCTTCCCTATTGTGGTGACTGGGAAACTTACCTATCTGAGAGACGGAGTCCTTGCACTTGTAACACTAAAGGATGTATTAAATAATAATGGGTGAAAACATGTTACTCTGGCATTGATCTCAATATAGCATTGTTATATTTTCAGGAAACTACTAAAGTTCCTGTGGACGCAAAGTAGAATTTCGTAAGAACATAATGGGTAAGTTATATGAAAGTAATTTTGTCATTCAGTTAGTTGAAGCTTTCTTCTCAAAGGTAGACCTTCAGAGTCGGTGAATGCAAGTAAGAAAATAGAGTGGATTGAAAATTAGTTGTTTATATCAACAGCTATGTTTACTATATGTTTCTGAAAGGCAGATCAGTAACATTATTGTGCCAGATTTAATTTGTGATTGCTAGTGAGTAATTGTTACTTAAGAAATTAGAAACTCTCCTAACAGACATTGAAAATGGTTTCATTTCCCAAAAAAAACCCCAAAACCACTAAATGTATAAATTTAAGTAATTGATAATTATTTTTATTTTTGTTCTCAGAGGTTGGCAAAAACTTAAAAATCTGTATGCTTGAATAGTCTATGATTTAGAAGTTACTTGCATTTTTGAGTCCCCCAGCTTTTTACTATGAAAAATTGTAAGAATAATACACTGTGGCCTTTACCAATTAATGTTTGCCATATTTGCTTTTCCTGTGTGTGTATGTTTATATACCCACATATACATACAAAAACACACATAAGCCTTTTTGCCTGTATTTATTTATTTGTATATGTAATACTCAAGGAGTCTTCCAGGTGGTTCACTGGTAAAGAATCTGCCTGCTGATGCAGGAGCTGCAGGAGTCTGGTTCGATTCCTGGGTTGGGAAGATCCTCTGGAATAAGAAATGACAACCCTCTGTAGTATCCTTGCCTGGAGAATTTCATGGACAGAGGAGCCTAGCAGGCTGCAGTCAGTGGGGTCACAGAGTTGGCCACAGCTGAGCATGCAGCATGTAAAACTCCATACTGAACACTTAAGCATGCATCTCCCTGATTCAGCCCATATTCAAAATTTCAGTTTCTTCAATAGTGTTCTTCACAGTGGGTTTATTCTTTTTAAATCGAGGGTCCAGTCAAGGATTACTTCCTGTATTTATTTATATCTTTGCCTCCTTTAAATAGTTTCTTACTTTAGAGATTGGGTGAGGAGTGAAGTCTTTCTGGCACATTTAAATTTAGGTTTGCCTGAATGGTTCCTCCTGATTAGATTCAGATTAAACAATTTTGGCAATGGTAGAACATGAGTGATTTTGATATTTATTAATCTCAGTTTTAGGAATTTGTATTAACAGATGAATGAGTGAATGTATGTTTGTAATTAAACAGGGCTTCAGCTTCTGTACTTCTCACTAAGGCTTCCTGAGTTTTTAGAATGAGCTTTAAGATGTTTTCTTTCAAATATTGGTAATCATAAAAATTTAAATTCTGTCAATACAAACATGTAAAGTTATATATGTGAGAAAAGATTATAAACAGATGTATAAAAATACATACTCCCTCAAAAAGTTACATTGCACAAACTCCTCTGGCTAAAACCAGCATGGAGGCAGTGGAGGTAACTGCTAGCTACTTCACCTGTGCTTTGAATTTTTAAAGATGATACTTGTCTATATTCATTACTTCAGTATTCATGCAGTAATTTAAACTGAGCAGTAAAACATTTTGATCATTTTTTATGCATCAAGAGTAAAATGCTGAATAAAGAAAGCCCTAATTTTGAGAATATGGGCTTGTCAGAAGTTGCACTCATACGGCATACAAACATCTATTCCAAAACACAGTATACATTTTATTTTTAAAATGAGAATTTCAAGTAACAGATTTAAAGTTTTACTATTTGAATGTTTTCTTTTAGTCTTAAATTCAAATGTGCTGCTATGTTCACGAATTGTTACTATTCCCTTGAACATACTGGTACATTTTCATCTAAAGTAAACATCCTTGGGAGTTCCTTGGTGGTCCAGTGGTTAGGACTCAGCACTTTTCGCTGCCACGGCCCAGGTTCAATCCGTGGTCGGGGAACTGAGATCCCACAAACTGTGAGGCTAGAATATTAAGAGACTAGTTAGACAAGAAGTTAAAAACTTTAAAATCTTGGGAAACAATCCAGGTCTGAGTTAATTCAAATACTAACTTTGGTAAACCTGTTTGTTTTTAATCCATTTTGTGAGTCAGAAATCATTTTACCTCTTCCTTACTTTAGATGGAGAAGAGAAAACCTATGGTGGCTGTGAGGGCCCTGATGCCATGTATGTCAAGTTGATATCTTCAGATGGTCATGAATTTATTGTAAAGAGAGAACATGCGCTAACATCGGGAACAATAAAAGCCATGTTGAGTGGCCCAGGTAGGTACATTTCTTTATTTCCTCTTAATATATTGTATCTTCACTTTCAATGTGTGATGAATGTGATTTAAGTTGAATTAAATAACTCATAACATTAAAAGAGAGACAGTAACTGTTCTAACATTAATTATTGCATGATTTTGTTGCATTCCCTGGTGGCTCAGGTGGTAAAGCATCTGCCTGCATTGCAGAAGACCCGGGTTCGATCCTTGGGTGGGGAAGATCCCCTGGAGAAAGGAATGGCAGCCCACCCCAGTATTCTTGCCTAGAGAATTCCATGGACAGAGGAGTCTGGCGGGCTACCGTCCATGGGGTCGCAGAAAGTCGGGCATGACTGAGCAGCTAACACTTTTCACTGTGTTGCATTGGGGAAAAAATGGCATCTGCTATTTCCTGCTTTCAGTTATTTACTGCAGTTTTATTAAGACCAAACTGATTATTTTGTAACAGGAAGGATCATTTCCCTCTGTTAGTTTCCTTAGCGAGTTCACCACAGAAGGACTGTGATTGGTGATTTGTGCTCCTGGTTACATGTGAAACACGTGAAGTTTATGTAAGTTACTGCCTCCCAGATACCTATTCTTACTTTTACCTCAAGAAAGTTTTTCTTGAGGATTGGAATTTCTGGAGCATACAGTGATTCTATGCTTAACTGTTTGCACTGTGGCTGAACCATTTTACATTCCAACCAGCAGTGTATGAGGGTTCCGGTTTCTCCACATCCTCTCTGACATTGGTTATTTTCTATTTTTCTGATTCTAGCCATCTTAGTGAGTGTGAAATGGTATCTCTTTGCATTGTCCTTTGGATTAGCAATTCCCTAATGACTAACAATGTTAAACATACCTTTATGTGCTTTTTGGTCATTTGTATATCTTCTTTTGAGAAACATCTGTTCAATTCTGTTGCCCATTTTTTTAATTGACTTGTGTTTCTGAGTTGTTAAAGAGTTCTGTATAAATTCTGGGTGACTTCCCTGGTAGCTTAGCTGGTAAAGAATCTGCCTGCAATGCAGGAGACCCCGCTTCAATTCCTGAGTCAGGAAGATCCCCTGGAGAAGGGATAGGCTACTCACTCCAGGATTCTTGGGCTTCCCTGGTGGCTCAGCTGGTAAAGAATCCACCTGCAATGTGGGAGACCTGGGTTCAGTCCCTGGGCTGGGAAGATCCCCTGGAGGAGGGCGTGGCAACCCACTCCAGCATTTTTGGCTGGAGAAGCCCCATGGACAGAGGAGCCTGGCAGGCTCCAGTCCATGGGATCGCAAAGAGTCGGACACAACTGAGCGACTAAACACAGCACATAAATTCTGGACACTAGAGCCTTACCAGATACATGATTTGCAAATATGTTCTGTATTCTGTAGGCTGTGTTTTTTCTTGATAGTATCTTTTTTTGAGAGGGTTGCTGCATTGGATCTTCATTGCAGCAGATAGAATCTTCGTTGTGTCATGTGAGATCTTTTGCTGTAGCACAGACTCTAGTTGTGGCATGTGGACTTAGTAGACTCAGTAGTTGTAGCGCTTGGGCTTCATTGCTCCACAGGCATGTGGGATCTTAGTTCCCCACTCAGGGAACGAACGCTCGTCCCCTGCATTGCAAGGCAGATTCTTTTTTTTTTTTTTTCTTTTCAAACTTTAAACATTTGTATTGGAGTACAGCCAATTAACGAACAATGTTGTGATCATTTCAGGTGAACAGTGAAGGAACTCAGCCACACGTTTCCATGTATACATTCTCCCCCAAACTTCCTTCTCATCCAGGTTGACAAGGCAGAATCTTACCCACTGGACCACCAGGACAGTCCTTTGATAGTGTCTTTTGATGTACTAAACCTTTTTTATTTTGATGAAATCCAATTTATTTTCTCTCTTGTTGTTTGTGATTTATGAGTCCTTTCTAAAAATCCATTGCCAAATTCAGTGTCATGAAGATTTACCCTTATGTTTTCTTATGAGTTCTGTGGTTTAAGCTCTAACATTTAGGTCCTTGATATTAAGTTAATTTTTTATATAGTGTGAATCAACTTCATTCTTTTGCATGTGGACATCCCAGTACTATTGAAGAGATCATACTTTACTCCCTTGAATGGTCTTGGCCTCCTTGTTGATATCAGTTGGCCATAAGTGTGTAGGTTTATTTCTGGACTCTCAGTTCTTCCTGTTGGTATATGTATCTATCCTTATACCGGTATAGCACTGTGTTGATTTCTGCAGCTTTGTAGTAAGTTTTGAAATTAGGAAGTGTTAGGCCTCTAACTTATTCTTTTTCAAAATTGTTTGGCTATTTGGGATCCTTTGCAGTCCCTTTTTTATATTTTTTTACTATGGAAATTTTAAAACATAACCCAGATATGGAGAAAATAGCATAACATACCTTCCTGTACCCATCAACCAGCTTCGGTAGTTACAAGTATTTTGAAACCAATCTCGTTTCATCTTTCTGACTTTAAGAGTATTTCAAGCAAACTTCTGACATAATGCCATTTCATTTGCAGAAATCTATGATTCTTCCCCTGCAAACTCTTTTTTTTCTTTCCTGGACCATCAGTTTTGGGTTTTTTCCCCATTTATTTTTATTAGTTGGAGGCTAATTACTTTGCAATATTGTAGTGGTTTTTGCCTTACATTGACATGGATAGACCATCAGTTTTACTAGAGACAAGGTTATTTGTATACTGTCGACATCCAGATTAGACTTAAGTCATGTTTCATCTTGAAAACTCATAATTAGAACTCTGGAGGCTTGATTAAAATTCAGTTCATCTCTCTAACAAGAGTACTTTATAGTTAGAACTCTTATATTCCTGTTGTATCGTGTCTTTTAGCAATGCCAAGACTGGTTAGTGGGTTCCAGAGTTATCAAGCTGATTGGCCCATGAGCAGTTCCCCAGTCAGTCTTTCATATCATAGTTTTAGCATTCACTGGAGCTATTACTGAAATTTACTTCTTTCAGAATTATAAAACAGGATTTTCTAATTCTTTTGTTTCTTCTGCATTTATTACTTAGAATTCTCCAATAAAGAACTGTTTGGTTACCCTGAAATACAATCTGTATAGGGGAAAAAAAAAGGATAAACACTTGATATTTTTTTTCCCTTCTAGTTTTTCAGAGCAGCAAATTGGTTCTCCAGCATCTTCCAATAGTAAAGAATGTTTGTTTGCATGTATACATATATATTGGATATTTTTCAGTCCTGTACAGTCATTTTTACTGATGTTCAGATTGCTCCATTTGCTCCATTTTTACGCCAGAGGGGGCACGTCAAGTTGGCTTCTGCGTCCTTGTGACACGGCTATATTAGTCTTGGATATGTACTGCTTTCTGTAATAACAAAAGTTCTCAAAATGAACAAAATGTTCATTTTGTACACTGTTTCTCAATCCTGAAAACAACTTTTGTAAAGAGCCCTGGTTTTTTTGTTTTTGGTTGGCTGGGGTTTTTTAGTGGAAAATGGTACTTAGAGACCCCTCTCTGGGTGCTAGCAGTACTCGTTGCTCCTGAGTTGAATTCCTTTTAGACTTTTCTTATAGACAGAACTAGGATATACTTGAGGGGGGAAATTCAGGAATGCCAACAAAATCTTAGTTAAAAATTAAGATTAGAGCATTTTGGCTTCTTTTGTAGGCCTGATCTCCTTTAACATAAAACCAACTTTCATGTAAACATTAGTTTACGTGAAAAGGAATGTATACTGATACATGCACCTTCAGAACATTATGCTGAGTGAAAGAAGCCAGACATGAAAAATCAAATGTTGTATATTTCCATTTGTATAAAATATCCAGAATAGATGATTTCATAGAGACGGAAAGTAAATTGGTGTTTTCCAGAGACTGGGGTGTGGGGGGAGGTGGGAAATAATTGCTTAAAGAGTGTGTGCATGTGTGCTCACTTGTTCAGTCGTGTCCTACTCTTTGTGACCCCATAGATCATAGTCCATCAGGCTTCTCTGTCCATGGGATTTTTCAGGCAAGAATACTGGAGGGGGTTGCCATTCCTACACCAGGGGATCTTCCCAACCCAGGGATTGAACCTGGGTCTCCCACACTGGCTGGAGAATTTACTGCACCTGGGAAGCCCTGCTTAAAGGGTACAAGGTTTTATCTGGGATGACAAAAATGTTTTGGAACCAGATAAGAGTGGATGGCTGCTCAGCACTGTGAATGTACACTGAATTACACCTCTTAGATGGGGACTTTAATGTTATGTGCATTTCACCTCAAAAAAGCACTGTTTCTCTAGTGTCAAAGGCTTAACAACTGCCTGTTGGTACTATTTCATGCATATGTTCAAGCAAGAGAATTGTAGTTATTGGCAAACAAAAGCTGACTTCATTGCTATGAATTATTTGTTGACTCCTTCTCTCCTTTTTTCTCATCCCAGCCTACCCCTAACCAACAGACATTAATAGAAAACTTAAAATACTCTTTTTCTCAGAAAGTACATTTTTCTGTCTTTTTTTATTTAGTGCACAGTGCTAATGCTAGACGATCAAGAAAATATTTTAACCTAATAGTAAAGGCTAAATTATCTTAAGTTTGTATAGCTAAAGAAATGTTGAGAGATCACTAAGAACAGTTTATGAACTGTTATTAAAGGGAAATATAATGGCTTATGAGATCTGATTAACATGATCATGTTTTAAAAACTAAAGAGGGAAACAGTGAATTTACTTCCTTGAAAAGATTTTTTTAAATTAGTGTTTCACTTATTGTTTATATTTACATGGCAACATAGCACAGAGCTCCTGATTATTGTAAATACTCGATTCCCTAGACTAGTGGTCCCCAACCTTTTTGGCACCAGGGACCAGTTTTGTGAAAGGCAATTTTTCCACAGACTTGGGGGCTGGGGTAGGGGAGTAGTTTGGGGATGATTTGTGCATTATATTTAATGTGCTCTTTATTTCTATTATTATTGCCTCAACTCCCCCTGAGATCCTCAGGCATCAGGTCCTGGAGGTTGAGGGCTCTAGACCTAGACTGGATCTTCTGTGTTTCTGCTCAGAAATCAGAGCTAGCTACTTCATTTGATGCAAGTTGGGTTTATCCTTTTTGCATTATATTAGTCTGCCATAACAAAATACCAGTGATTGGATGATTTAAACAGAAATTTAGTTTCTCACAGTAGTTAGTCACATCCCAAAGGATGGGAATAAAGATTTGGCAGGGTTGGTTTCTTCTGGGGCCTCCTTCCTTGCCTTGTAGACAACTGTCTTCTCCCTGTCTTCACATTGTTGTCTAACCTCTGTGTGTCTGCAACCTAACCTCCTGTTCTGATAAGTGAAAGTTGCTCAATCGTGTCCGACTCTTTGCAACCCCATGGACTGTAGCTTGCCATGCTTCTCTGTCCATGGAATTCTCCAGGCAAGAGTACTGGATTGGGTAGCCATTCCCTTCTCCAGGGGATCTTCCCAACCCAGGGATTGAACCCAGGTCTCCCGAATTGCAGGTGGATTCTTTGGGCAATAAGTATATATTTAACTTTATAAGATAGTGTCAGACTGTTTTCTGAAGTGATTGTACTGTTTCACATTCTATCTGGCAATGTCTGTAGAGTTTAAATTTCTTGCCATAGTTTATTTTGGGGAATTTTAATTTACTTTATCTCTTTATTCATATGTGTGCATGTGCATGCTCAGTCATCTCTTGACTCTGCAGCCCCACAGACTGTAGCCTGCTAGACTGCCCTGTGCATAGCATTTTCCGGGCAAGAATACTGGAGTGGGTTGCCATTGCTTACTCCATTCTCCAAATGACTCGAAGTTACTTGGTTTGTTTTATTGGATTAGTACTTTAGTGATAAAGTTATGAATTTTCAAAGAGCCAAAATTCTCTTTGCAGATGAACGAGGTGGAAGTCTAAAATCAAAACATGACATCAAAAATTCTGATAAGGATACCAGTCAAGTTGGTCCAGGACCTTAATTGCTTGTCTCCAAATATAGTCCCATTTGGGAATATTAGGAGTTAGCAGTTTTGGAGGAACATAAGAATTTGGAGGAAAACACAGTTCATCCCATATATCACAAATTCCTTTTCTTTTCCAGGTCAGTTTGCTGAGAATGAAACTAATGAAGTCAATTTTAGAGAGATCCCTTCACATGTGCTATCGAAAGTATGCATGTATTTTACCTACAAGGTTCGCTACACTAACAGCTCCACGGAGATTCCTGAATTCCCAATTGCACCTGAAATTGCACTGGAACTGCTGATGGCTGCGAACTTCCTAGATTGTTAAATAAAATAAATTATAATAAACTGTTAACTCTTTTTCAGTATTTAATACCTGTAGTTCAGTTAGTACTTTTTTCATATATAGCATGTTGCCTGTGTGCAGTTGAACTTTAAAGTTCATTGCAAAGCAGATTATCTTCTGTTCTTTTGCATAGCAATCAGAGTTGAAGTTTGTTTGCTACATCAACAAATTAAGGACATTTTCACAAATTGAGAAATAAACAAATATACCAGTTCGTAGGTGGTTTTGCCTTATCCTTTGGATGTGATTTTTTAAAATAAGAGAAATGATGATACAATAAATGCTGAAATTTAGGCATAAATTGAACACGTTCTACAGGTAAATAATGGGGCTACGTATTTTTATGTTCTTAGTGTTTTTTTTAAAAAAACCTATTCTGATCTTATAGCTATCATTAGCATTACTAGAGTTATGCAATTGCATATAATTGCATTATAAACATGTTTATAACTTAGCCAAAATATTGATTTTTATAACTGTCAAAGACATGAGAGTTGAAATTTCTTATGTGTCTTTTGATAAACTGCAGTATTGTTTTAAGTATATCTTGTCTTTTTGTTTATTGCTACAATTTAAGAACTTTATTTAAAATCAGTTTTGGAAGATATACTAGATACAGCTTTTGGAGCAGGGACTTTTTGAACTATAGCCGCATGGTCAACAAGTAAATTACATGTGCGTTTGGTTTCATGTACATTGTGCATTTTGGCCAGTCCAAAGCACTGTACTTTCACTGACTCTAAAGTTTCCTTTGCGTATTCATTCCCACATAGTCCCTTGTAGGTAGACTTCTCATTATGCTTTAAAAGACTCATGAACTTCATCTAGATCCTGAGAACAAGACTTCTCTGAACTATTTTAGTCTTCCTCCATTCAGCTGAAATGTTATAAAATACCAAAACCTGAAGAGATGCAGTGCAGATCTTATATTGCACTTTGATATAGTTTATCATCTTCTGTTAACACATTTCCCAGTAGACAGGATGTTGTAATCTGGGTCTTCTGCTGAAGTCAAACTTACAATAGAAGCCTTTCAGCTTCTATACCAAGACAAAAAAAGTTTTTTATGAACTATAAGAATGTCTCTGCTTAGTCATGGGAAAAGAAGCACTAGAGTTGGATTTACTATATAGTCTTTATCCTAGTAGTAAAACAAAGCTGTTACTACAGGGTCTATAAATTTAAATCTTCAGCTTACTTCTTTGAGACTGGTTTAATATGGACCAGTTTTTCTGGAACCTGCAAAGACCATAAACAACCAAGATCTATAAAAGTAATTTTTCCACTTAGAAGACCTCACATTGTACTTTCCAGCTTATTGAAAGCAATTAAATATAAATGTTAATTGCATATATTTTAGTAACTTCTTAAGACATAACTGGTACTTTTTTTTTTTCAAGAGAGTAAGACATACTGGTACATATTTTAGTATAGAAGATTATCAAGTACAAGAATTATATTCTGCTACTTGGTGACAAATAATGCCAATTATAAACCTAAGTGGTGATCTTAAAGGTCAAGGTAATAGCTAGAATAAAGTTTAACTTTGACCCATTTTAGTAGGTTACTTTGTATGTTAGATCCAGAAGTAACCTCAAGTTTAAAATATTGAAACAACTGAAAGATTAGGAAAACTGTATCTTGTGGCAAATGATACTTGCATGTTAATAAAGACTATTTGAAAGGTTTGATGAACACTTGGTGTTTGATCTTTTTAGCCTTAATTTTCTGTTTTTCTGCGGATGTATGAAACTATTGGCTTCAGTACATCTGTCAGATGACAATAGTAGGAATTTTTATTTGGTTAAATTTAACAGATGATTTTATATAGTATTGAAACCTTAATGGTTTCCTGACACTTGGTAATTAGTTTACTTTTCGAATTATGTGCAAATCTCCCTGATATTTTTTTCTGCACAGAGAATAGCACCACAAAATCCTTTTGTTTTATTCAGTTAGTATTTCATTTTGTATTATCTAGATTATTTATGATTTTTAGATTGCTTCTCTTTCTTACAATTATTGTTGGCAAATAACAGTCTCCTTTTGAAGACCTGTTAATATTGAGAGATACAGTTTACTATAAGCGGTAAATTTAGCTCATTTTAAAATAGAAATACATTTAGAGACATCTTGCTATGTATGGAGCTGTCATCTTAGCTCTGAATCATTTTGCTAAATTTATTTATTATTATTCTTCCAAAATAGTACAGATATTCTGAGAAATACTGTAAAATTGCTGGTAGAGATTGAAGAGTGTTTAACCCTCATAATTCCTATCTATGTAGAGGAAAATTCATACAAATTAACAAAGCTGGGATATATTTAGACTTAGCAATGCTAAGTTGAGCCTCTATTTAGTTTTATCTAATTTTGGTAAAACATAAGATCTGGAAATCAACAGATACCATCAATTTTATATATAGTGTTTTATTTGCAATTTTTAATCTGGTTTAATTCCAGGCTAGTCATATTTGTGCTAAGATTTTGTATTCCTATTAGATTAAATTCTTAAGTATTATACCCAGTGGTATGTTGGTTTAAACAAATTATTAGTCTAAAAGATTCTGATACATTATAGCACCAAACTAAGAGTTAAAAAGTCTAATGTCTTGTGCTAATAAGCCATGTGATCTTGAGCAAGTGACTGGGTCTTAATTTCACATCTAGGAAATTAGGAGACCACGCATCAATAGGGTGATGTTGGCCACATTTTTTAATGAACAAACAAGGTCATGTTTGTCGATATTGCTTAAATCTAAAATTGTAACATTACAGATGATCGTAAGAATTATGAATGAGGAAAAAAGCTTTCTTGCTGCATTTTCTAAGTAGCAGTCTATAAATATCAGTTTTTGCTGCTTTTGATTAGGCATTAAATATTACACATCAGTACTAAATAAGTTAACTAGATTAATTTACAATCCTTGTTTTCTGTTGCCTGCTATATAAAGAAAATTCCATTTTCTCTATGGTCATCATAACTATGGTCATCATTAACTTTGTGATACAAAGGGAAGTTTATATGCCATTTCCCTACCAGTAATATGCAATGCCAGGTCAATCCAAAATTCAGTTTTCATTTATGCTCAAGTTTATTAATTTATCCTGAATTAAATACTTAATTTTTTTTATTTATGCCATGTTTCTCTAGCTGTAAACAAGACTTTCAAAATGCCTTATAGAATATTCCACTTCCTCTCTCCACATTCCCTCCCCCTGCACACACACACAGGTTTTTTTAATTTGGAAAATTTTTAAATTGTTTTGAGGTAGAACTCCTGGTCTTAACCATCAAATTGTTCTATAAGTTTTGTGTTCATGTTATTATTCTAATAACAGGACACAACTGTATCAGTATTTGGAGTTTTCCCCTCTTTCTAGATGCTTATATCATTTTTAATACAAAAGTGTTAACATTTACCTAGATATATATATGCTAAGACCTTTATTTGTGACAGCATCTGTTGCTTCATTATTTACAGAAGTATGCATAAGATAATAGCTTGTGATATGAAAAATTCAAATATCATGACTTTTTACTCAACCAGAATTGTCTCAAATCTTTCCATTTGAACCTTTTATATCATGAAGTAAAGCTGGTGATTAATTCTACCTATGCATACCAACTGGCCCTGGTCCAGTGTTAGGATTTTTTTTTTAACACATCAGAATTGTAACTAGGCATTGAAATTTTGATGCAAATTTACAAATGTATTTTTCTTTTGAAATAGTATATACTATATCATTTCTGCTCTTGAAAACTTCAAGAGCCTGTGCATCCATCTCAAGTATAATTTTGAATTGTAAAATACATCTTCTTCAGACCATTGGAGACCATTTTTGTCTTTCCATAATTTCATTCAACTGTTTTTGAAAATGATTGTTTCTTCTCCTACAGCCACCATTTGAATCAGCCAATATATGTTTGATTTTTGTTTTAATGAGGATTAGTTTGTTTAGTCCAAGGTTACAAGCTAATTTACAGTGAGATTCTAGACCCAGATCATAGTTCAAATTAGAGCAAACATGGTGCTTAGATTCTAGAAACATCCTATGAATGTTACGTTCAGAAAAAGAAGTCACGTTAAGAGTATTGAAATAATATACAGAATACTGAAATGGTGGAATTAGGGTAGGGAGTTAATGCATGAGATGTGCTTATAAAATAATAAATGCTTTTTAAAGTATATGACATTTCTATCCAAATGAACATCATCCTTCACTTAGTAGGGCTATTGTTGCTCAAAAATGTTTCTGGAACTGACTTCAGAGCTTATAATAAATGTTCTTTTGAATAGCCTCAGTGGTGGGAGATGCTTTTCTTTCTTTCTTAGATTCTCTTAAATGTTTTGCAACAGTGTTTTTTATGTAAAACTACTGAATAAAGATGAGTGGCCAGGCAGAAGATACATAATTAAAGGAATTGGAGTAGCTTTCTCATGCAGCCACTCACCATGCCAGCAGCATGGCCTGTCACAAAGCCAAATTTAAGGAAGGAGCTGCATCAAAGTTGTGATTAAAGTGGGTGTTTATAGTTGTTATCTTACAGTGTAAGACATCATCTATGTTATTTTGTTCAATGCAGCAAGGTTTCCTACAACATCATACTAACAGTTTCTCTGTTATGGACAAGAGTATGATCTGTCCGATAAGTGCCATTTCATCCTTAAATACTGAATGAAAACCTGCTTTCCTAAAGAGCGGAGTCCATGAAGTTCCATTGACTGGTGGAATGACAATACAAAAGTCATAAAAAGCCAGGAGCTCCTTAAAACTGATGAAATCACAATTTATATGATTTTCCTTATGTGTAACTATATTTTTGTGCTTTTCCTAGTGGCAATTTTTCCTTTATGTATATCAGCTAAAAACTAGGTTGTAGAGCAGTAAGGAGGGCATTTTGTGTTTTGTGGGGATGTTATCTCTTCCAGTGCGTAACAGGCTGATTTAAACATGGTAGATGTTCAGCACATGAGTGCCAAGTCACTGCAGTCATCTCCTTCTCCAGGGGATCTTCCTGACCCAGGGATCGAACCTGAATCTTAAGTCTCCTGCATTGGCAAGCAGGTTCTTTACCACTAGTGCCATGTGAGGTTATTATTTACACCAAATTTGAAAATTGTAGTTGAGTGATTTTCTAAGGAAAATATAAATTGTGAAAATTAAATCAAGACAAAATCTAAATAACCATGACAGGAAAATGAAGTAGTTGTCAAGATATTTCTCCCAAAGAAGCATAACATTCTATTATTATTACAGTTAAGTATTTTTTTAAATCTTCAAGGAGCATGATTCACACAGTAAACTGTTCTAACACGATAAAAAACAGCACATTTACAAGCCTCTGTTACAAAGCTAGTATAATCCTGATAGCAAATTCTGAGATAGCATAGACCCCCCCACCTTAAAAAAAAAAAATCCTATAGACCTATAACACAGGTATATAGAGACAACAAGCTTAAATAAAATACTAGCAAATCAAATCCGGGCTGTCATCAGAGAATACTCCACTGTAATTGTTTAGTCTAAGAAAGCAAAGATGGTTTAATGTAAGAAAATTCATTGATACACATTTACTGAAGGGAAAATGTAGGCACATTTCAATAGAGGTTTAAAAATAATTTGGTAAAGCATCATGTCCATGCCTGATTTTAAACTAATACACTAGGAATAGACTATTTCATTTTTTATTTTATTTTTCAGCTGCACTGCATAGCAAGCAGGATCTTGGTTCCCCTACCAAGGATCAAACCCATGCCCCCTGCATTGGGAGCATGGGGCCTTAACCACTGGACCACTGGGTGAGTCCCACATTTATTATTTTAAAACAACCTCAAGCTAAAGTTACCACAAGAAACATTCATCAGAGACACTCTTATTAAAAATGAGGACCAATGAACAAGTATGGGCTAGGATGTGGAGAAGAGAGACTCCTCATGCACTGTTGGTGGGAATGTAAAATTGTACAGCCACTAGGGAAGACTTGGAGGTTCCTCAAAAAACTAAAAATACAACTACAGTATGATCCGGCATTTCCACTCCTGGGTATTTATCCAAAAACAGTAACTCAAAAAGATACATGCACCCCCATGTTCATTGAAACATTATTTACAATAGCCAAGATATGAAAACCTGTGTCCACTAAAGGAATGGATAAAGAAATCGTGGTATATAAATACAATGGAATATTATTCAGCTTTTAAAAAGAAAACGTTGCCATTTGCAACATTATGGATAGATCTAGTGCATTATGGTAAATGACATAAGGCAAAGACAAATACATGATCTCACTTATATGTAAAAACAAAACCCAAGCAGATTGGTAGTTGGTAGAGGTAAGGGGTGGGGAGTGAGCAAACTGGGTGAAGGGGGTCAAGAGATACAAACATTATAAAATGTCATGGGAATGTAATGTACAGCATGTATATAGTTAGTAATATTATATTGCTAAGAGAGTTCATCTTAACAGTTCTCATCAAAAGAAAAAAATTTTTTCTGTGTATGATGAGAGATGTGGTAACTAGATTTAATGTAGAGATGATATTGTAACATATACAAATATTGCATCATTATGTTTTACACCTGAAAGTAATGTTTCATGTCAATTATACATCAAAATAAAACACATAGGAATACTTGCTATCAGTACACTCTAGCATTTCTTGGAAATATCCAGACAATGTTTGGTTTTTTTTTTAAGTTAGGCATAAATCAGTTCAATTCAGTCACTCAGTCGTATTTGACTGTTGTGACCCCATGGACAGCAGCATACCAGGCTTCCCTGTCCATCACCAACTCCAGAGCTTACTCAAACTCAAGTCCATTGAGTCGATGCCATCCAACCATCTCATCCTCTGTTATCCCCTTCTCTCACCTTCAATCTTTCCTAGCATCAGGGTCTTTTCCAATGAGTCAGTTCTTCGCATCAGGTGGCCAAAGTATTGCAACTTCAGCTTCATCTTTCAATGAATATTCAGGACTGATTTCCTTTAGGATTGACTGGTTTGATCTACTTGCAGTCCAAGGGATTCTCAAGAGTCTTCTCCCACACCACAGTTGAGAAGCATCAATTCTTCAGCACTCAGCTTTCTTTATGGTCCAACTCTCACATCCATACATGATTACTGGAAAAACCATAGCTTTGACTAGATGGACCTTTGTTGACAAAGTAATGTCTCTGCTTTTTAACATGCTGTCTAGTTTGTTTATAGCTTTTCTTTCAGGGAGCAAGCGTCTTTTACCTTCGTGGCTGCAGTCACCATCTACAGTGATTTTGGAGCCTCCAGAAATAAAGTTTGTCACTATTTCCCCATCTATTTGCCATGAAGTGATAGGACCGGATGCCATGATCTTAATTTTCTGAATGTTAAGCTTTAAGCCAACTTTTTCACTCTCCTCTTTCACCTTCATCAAGAGGCTCTTTAGTTCCTCTTCACTTTCTGCCATAAGGGTGGTGTCATCTGCATATCTGAGGTTATTAACAGGCAAATTTGGCCTTGGAGTACAGAATGAAGCAGGGCAAAGGCTAATAGAGTTTTGCCAAGAGAACACACTGGTCAGAGCAAACACCCTCTTCCAACAACACAAGAGAAGACTCTACACGTGGACATCACCAGACTGTCAATACCAGAATCAGATTGATTATATTCTTTCCAATCAAAGATAGAGAAGCTCTATCCAGTCAGCCAAAACAAGACTGGGAGCTGACTATGGCTCAGATCATGAACTCCTTATTGCCAAATTCAGGCTTAAATTGAAGAAAATAGGCATAAATACTGGAAAAAAGTAGGAAAAAATATCTGCAGGCAATATAGAATCTCACAGAAAAATTCCAGAAGTGTGAACTGAAAAATTCTGAAATCTAAAACAGAGAAGTAGAAAATATAGTGGGCATTGTGGGATGTTTTCTTTTCTTTTGTTTTGGCTGTACAGTATAGAAATCCCCACCCTGGGTTTAGGAAACACCCATTATCTACATCCAGATGAAAGTGGCTCCCCCACACACTGCTACAGAAATCAAAAAAGTAACTTCTTCCCTGCCTCCTGCCTGCCAGGGCATAGGAACATGACGAAGGAACCCTCCACGTCCTTCCAATAATTGCCTTTTCTACTTAGGCTTTCCGTTGAGAACTACAACTCACAGAAATGGATACTGATGATAGGTTACAGGCAACAAATCCTCCAGAAAATGGGGGATCTAATTTTGATTATCTTGCTCAGGTAGAGCCAAAAGTGGGAACAATTCCACAATATTCATAAATGAGAATGAAAACCAAGAGCTTGGGAGGGTTAAATAGCTATTTGAGTTATTTCTTGTCTATTGAGAACAGGGATTTGTGAACATTCATTGCACCTATCAAAGAACATAATAGAAGACAACGGGTTTTTATTTTTATTTTTTGGCCAACTGGCATGCAGGATATCAGTTCCCTGACCAGAGATCAAACCCATGCTCCGTGCAGTGGAAACTCAAAGCCCTAACCGCTGGACCCCCAGGAAATTCCCCCAACATTGAAAATCAATGGTGTGAATTTATATAGCCTGTGAAGTGGAATGACTGCTTTTAATGATACTGGATAGCTTAAAGAAAGAGTATAACCTCAAATGCCTCAGATTTCATTTCAGGGCACAGCAGGATCCTAGGAAATATCTAGTATTCTGTTCTTTAACCCCAGATAGCTGTTCAATCATTGTAAAACCAAACTTAAGATTGGTCCAATAAGTTGCTAAGTTAAATATTGTTTAGTTAGTACTTTGGCCACCTGATGCAAAGAGCCAACTCACTGGAAAGTATCCTGATGCTGGGAAAGATTGAAGGCAAAAGGAGAAGAAGCTGGCAGAGAATGAGATGGTTAGAGAGCATCACTGACTCAATGAACATGAGTTTGAGCAATCTTTGTGAGATAGTGAAGGACAGGGAAGCCTGGCATGCTGCAGTCCATGGGGTCACAAAGAGTCAGACACGACTTAGCTGAACTGAACTGAACTCAGTACCATGTAAAATTTAGGATACTGATTGAGAAAAGGTGCTACCCTAAGAATTTTAGCAGGGGGTCATTCTAAAACTCCCATGATCCTCCTGGACAGTTAAATCAATCTGCCACCATCTTTTGGAAAGAAGCAGGGTCTCCCTATTACCTGAAGATACCCTCTGGGGACAGGTAATTCTCATCTCACCTGTCATTGTTGCTGACTAAGACTACAAATGGATCCCTGGGGACTCCTAGAGTTCAGCATCGAAGTTTTCCGAAGATTACTGCCAGCTCCTTGAAGACAAGACCACTTGGAGCTCAGATCCC